TTTGATGGTAAGTATACAACGGTAAGATTACGAACTAAATGTGAGACTTCAGACACTCCCAATTTTGTAAAGATCGATGTTTTAAAAGAATTAATTTTTATTATACAGTTATAGTATTTAGTCATCATGTGACTTTGTGATCTTACCTTTGAGCATTTACCATCAAATGTCAATATACTACAGCTTTGTTCCTACAATAGTTCAATATTTGGCAGAGAACTTGGTACTCGGAAAGTGCTCGACTGCAACACTGCTTCGAGTATGTATTTTCCAAAAGTGAAGTATGCTCTTTCCAAGTTCGTTTTCATGAAGTGTATTTTCCAACTTCGAATATCAAAACATATTTTATCTAAAGATCATTTATTCCAGATTGGAGCTCTCCAGTATAAGAGATATTATTTGTGTTTTTGAAACAAATCCTGTTTACGAGGCATTTACTTCCATATTCGTGTTATTAGATTTATGTTTTCAAGCTTTTCTTGGAAATTTCTGTGACGTAACTTCTCTGTGTGTGTACCACGTGCGTATGAACGATTTTGGGAAATCATCAAGCTGAGCTGTCGTATCAGCAAGTGGTGCACAAGAAACGAACGTGAAAAAAAAATATCTCGTAAAAATCATTTTTTAAAGTATACATCTCATCATAACGAACTCACGGATATACCTGTACATGAATATTTCGAACAAAAGAACTTTGCGAAAAGTATATCGTACAAACAAACTTGAAAAAAAAATATACTCCATAAAAAAAAAACTCGGAGAACTTCACCTTTGGAAAATGAGTACTTTGATATTATTCAACGGCTTTCGTAATCCCTGGTGTTCTAGTGGACAGAGAATGGGTGACCTAGACTGTTTATTTATGTCACTTTGAGTTCCGTCTAAACTACTAAGCCAATCAGAAAACAACAAGCCATCCAGCCAAATCCGAGGGATTAGCTCTTCAACTGGGACGGTATACTTCCATCCAAACGGACTCGTCCCAAGCCGCTTATCAGGGACTTGCCGGTACGTGCCGTCCGCGTCGCGCTCTGAGGAGGAGGGCGCCCTCACCCGAATCTCGCTCCACCTCCGAGGGGCGTGGCGTCACAAACATTTGGCGGTTCAAATAACCCTCTCCATAACTCAAATGATGAGGAGCAACTGGACGAATATCAATGGTCCACTCCAAAATGTTCAGTGTTTCAGTACTTCATTTGGGGGAAGGGATTCACTGTTACCTGAGGTTTTCCATTAAACTCAGCCTTAACAGAGAAAGGGTTATTTAGGAAAGAATATTTAATTAATTTTAGAATTTTGCCCTGCCCGACGTGTATTATAACACTGTATACTCAGTGTTTGCTCCCGAAGGCTTGCAAAAAATTACAGGCGTACTCGGGTGGGACTTCCTGCTTGCTAATGCAGACGTCTTAACCACTTGACCACCGAGCTTACCGCGCACCGGTGTCGTCTTACAAGATCGAGTCAGATGTAGCAGTGGGTACCGCAAACAACTATTTCCAAGGATGGATTTGCGCCGGGAAGATTTTAGTTAATTTTAGATTTTTGCCCTGCCCAACGTGTACTATGTTATAATACATGTCAGGCAGGGCAAAAAATCAATCATCCTTGGAAAGAATACTTACTCTCCGGTGCACCTCCCCAAAGACCACCACCTCGATAAGCTCGTATCTCAATGTTCTGGTCTCGTTGTATGCTGTGATCAGCAAGAGACAGCAAGTTACAAAGCTGAAATGTAATGTGCAAATTTGTTCATTCGGTGTTGAATTCAACATTCACATCTGTAAGAAATATACCAATTAGCATCAGCAAAAACATCAGCCTACAATCAGCTCATGAATACCGGTCGAATGATTCCATCCAATGCACATCGTAAATAACACACCGTATTACACATCGTGAATAACAAATACAGGTTTTTGGACAATTTTAAACTAAAACCTCTAGAACACTAAGTTTAAATGGAATCATATGTGCTAACATGACTGTTGATGTAAAAATTTACTTCTAAGTGTAGTTACACTTCTGCCCATCAACAAATAATGTCGGCTCTGCCCCTCGCTTCAATTTTCTCATCCTCTCTCCATTCATTGAAGAATCATTCTGGTTCGAAATGATTAGAGTACAGGTAGCTGCATTTCGTGTCTCATAGATTTTGGGACATGGGGTCAGCACGTCGGACTCGTATGAGTCACTTTTTTCGTAGTGCGTTTTCCTTGGGAAATCTAGTAAGGGGAAACAATAACTTCATATTAATTATGTCACGAAAAGAAAAATATATTTAGGCCCATTCCTACAATATTTCTACAAAATTATAACACTCAAATACGTTTGTGATATTTAAACCTTTTAAATCGGAAATAAAGCCGTGACCTACATGCCTCCGGTTATGTTATGGAATTTTTTTATCTCCAACTGAAACCTGAGGCTTAAAGGTTTCCAACATCGGGATTGGCTAGCCGTAGTTTCACGTTTTCAGACTTATGACCCTGGCCGCGGGCACTTCAAGTTTGTGTTTTAATCGAGTTATGACCTTATGAATTTCGGTATAGCCTGTGTTCAGAATATAGACAAAAAACATATAGAGTTAGTGCTCTCAATCTATCTTATTGCCGAGTTTTCGGTAACTTGGTACCTTGTCAGGGCAAGCAGATTCACTTCTGAATGAGTTTTAGGTAGGCAAAGAGAATACCAGCTTGCGTCTGAGTTAGATTTGGAACAAATCGGTGCCTGAAAACGGTCCATTTTTCGGTGAGTGTAGGCATTGATATTTCAAAATGCTTTTTAGGGGTGACCTTCCGTGGAAATGAATATATTCTGAAGTTGTCATTCAGTGTATGGAAATTTTGAAAAGAAAATGAAAAATTATCTGGGCATTAATTTGACGTGCATCTCTAACGCCTGGGAAACTCGTTAGCATTTATCCTGATTTCTAAAGTTTGGGTATTTATCATTGTTGTCAATGGTCTGGCCTGCAACCTACTGCTCTGGACTCCATTGGCTTGTTTTGAGGACCCAACTTGAAACCATGACGATGCTCCAGCTTTGCAAATTTGGTTATGCTTGTTTGACGAAAATGTTCTAGCACCAATGTCATCTCTGCTTCCTGGCACTTTGGCTATGTAGGATTAGGAAGTTACCGTTTCACGGTCCTTTTTGTTGGCCGCCTTGAACATGTTCCTGTTTATTTGCTTAAATTTACGGCCACAGAGGTGTTTCTGCATGCCCAGAGATTCTGATCACCACACAAAAATAATGTCAAGCAGACGGTTACCGAGGAGGTACTTTCCCACTTGGGGATAGATTCCCCCTGCCTCATCAGCAGAGAATTTGTC